GAGCGGCTTCGACGGGCCGTAGATCTCATGCCTCCCTTAGAACACTCCGGCCCAAGTAGGAGTTACAGGGTGGGGCGGAGTTGGGCGCGCCTACCTCCCGCCCCCTACTCATGTGCCTTTCCAGCCGCCTCTTTTTCCGCACAGCAAGAAGAAGTGCATACCATAGTAACAACAATTTCCATTGCTGCATTTTGTTGTTTTTCTAATATAATAAACAATACCACCACACTAAACATTTCCGGAAGCAAAAAATTAAAATTATCGTTATATTTTATATTTTTTATAATACACATATACAATATATCATTAGCGAGAAAACATTTTTTAATCAAACATAAACCAACATGGTCGGTGGTTGGTAGTACTTTTAAACTAAGTATATTTGCGCTGCATGCCGTCTGCCCAGTAAAAATGTAACAAAATTATTAATTTGAGTTTCACTCCTAATACTAGCGAGCGTACACCGATTGCGTAACCGCTGTATTGAAAGGAGATCCAATATACAACCACATAAATAAAAATAATATATGAAAACACACTGAACTAATAATTAATTAATAACTATATAGCACATATACATATCATTCCTTCTTAAAACACCTACGGCGACAATAATAAGACACGAGATCAGAGATAAAGGCTCATTTATGATCATAATTTTCCATAGATTCAAATTGTTTGACCACAATCTCGTCTGTGAAATGAGAAATCAAAGGACGAGTTCATAAATGAATGCCCTAGTTGCGCATTACGCCGATCGATGCAGCGAGCCCAGATGACACATTTGAGAATTGAATAGCCGATGTTAATTTACGAGATTCGTTGAGTTGCATCTAAACGATTTCTTTACGCTTTAATAATTCATAACTACCACTAACCAAACCAAACCTATAATCATATCTATTAATTTAAATCATATTCTTCACCAAATCCACAATTCAAACTAAATATAAAAAATTCATCAACCGACTCCTCTCAAAAAAATAACTTCATAAACAAATAAAACCCCAACATTCTCGGTAGGCTCTATTCTATACGACCGTATTGGCATAAACGAGGTAAGAAAGAAAGTTAAAAAAATGCTAACTTATATGAAAAAAAAATCTAAATAATTATTGGGCATAAAATAATAGACACATGTAAACCCAATGAGTTAAACGAATTATGTCAATCGCAGATAAAAAATTCCTAGATCACAGTATAGTTAATTAATTACCAAGTAATACATATGCGATCCTTGCGTTACCAAATGTGTGACTAATACACACATTATTATCTATTTTATTATTATTTATGTAGTCGATTCCTCGAAAAACTTTACCGAACCTTTAGATTTGTACGATTATCAATATATCTATACCCCGCATATTAATGATCGGTTTCTTGAAGTCTGCGACATTTATATTCTCTGGTTTTTGCATAAATTCATTATAATATATCATCATTAACATTTTAGAATATAATTAAAAATTCTTTATTCAAATAAACTTAAATATATGTACTTTAATATGATAGTAATATTAATAACCGTACCTTTTTTTAAGATATTGCAAGAATCTTGTGTTGATCTTTTAAATATTCGTTGCAACTTTACATTTTTAAGTTGAAATGGATGAGTACAAACTACCAACTAGCATTAATTCATTAGAATCAAAATATTAATACACAATTAATTGGTTCAGTAACTAAATAGTACTAATGAGCCGTAATGATTAAAGCAGATCACTCCCTACAAGCAGCACTCGTTCAAGAGTACGACGTATTAGCCAGCCGTGTCTAAAATATGGATATTTTAGGGAGTCTAATGAACCAGCCCACCACGCCGACACATATCTGGATATTTTAGTGAGCATTACTACTCAAGACACTCGACCACCTCATAACTACTTAAAATTATCTACTATTTAAATATATAGTTATAGTATTCGCACTTTATATAATTATGCATACGGCAATCAAAATAAAAATGACTACGCTATCATATTTCTTAATTATCAAATCAAGAAATCAATAAGAAAATTAAATTATAACGTTGTCTGCAAATAAGTTTATTTTACTATATTGGTGTCATATATGAATTCGTCTATCCTATAATAAATACGCTTTCTTACAAAAAATATTTAATATAACATTTAAATTGCCTTTCTGTTAGATTTAGAGTAGAACCTGGCAGTTTAATAAAAAGTCGTACGCAATTACCACGAAATGAATTACTGACTTTGTGTAAGCGGCATTTAGGCAAAAAAAAAGTTATTTTACCTAAATGGCTCAAATATAAGTAAATGTTAGTAAAATTAGATTAATATTTTTATACCTAAATATACTCTGAAGTAACGTTGTGGATATTTTATTGTTTTAAACATTTTTTCAGAAGGTGATTCTCATTATTAAATCGTTCTAAAATTAGTGATTTGCAAATGTTAATTTTAAGTTTGAGCAATGATGACAACAATAATACTGTTTGTATAAATGTGAGAGCATATTTTAATTCTCTTTACATTGCCCACGGCGTGTACGTGACTGTTGACCAATTTAATTAATTAAGCTGGTCCGTGCAACTGTCCACTGCACATAAAGGATTCCAAAATTTAATACCACAGCCGATATTCGATATATTTCAATTCAATTAGTTTGCACGAATATTTTGCTTTGTACCTATTTGCAGCCATCAAAGGACCAAACCAAATGAAATTAATTACTAATTGAATATCCACGAATTAAGCCGTCTGGTATTGGCGGCTACATATTATTGGCTTTTTCATTACAGATTATCTGACATCAAACAAATGAAACATATGAAGCTTTAAACTGATTCCTGAAGTAGCCCAATTAATTAACAACGAGACATGTGCCTAATGGAAATAAAAATATCATTGTACAATTACTCTATTGGTAATAATCTATAAATTAAATATATCTACACATACGAGTAGATTGTATCGTCAAGAATGCATAATATCTTTGTATAATTACAATATATTATATAACACAAATTAACTTTGACGAACGCTATCTTGATAGTTATATTGTTGCGATCGTCTCAATTTGGAAATATTAAAATATATACCTATCTATATACACGATTAGAAAATGTTTCTATAATTTATATAAACAAAAACATGTGTATATAATTTTCCTATTCCTATTTTTCAGATAATAACTTTCCTATCAATTTCAATATCACTTTGTTACCCTGGACACCGGACATCGCATCTTGAATAGATTTTATTATGAATTGCTTAAATGAGCACGTACATTGATAAACTAAGACCAACACAAGCAATTCAAGAACTCGGACCTACGACAAATTATATACCATTACTAGTAAGAGGGTGTGCTAAACCATTTGACCACCACGGCCGCAGCTCAATATACATAATGCCTTCATTATGTACATTAAGCTGCTGCATTTGCTGCTGCGGTGATCAAACAATATTCATCACTAACGATCCTAATATACAACAGGTACATATCTTCTACCTACTAGGTTTAAATCCAAATTTATCCGAATGGCAATGATCAGAGCCTTGTTTTCTTAACCACACTGTTTTTGTTAATATTACAAACAAGTGAATGCAGTTCACCGTTATCAATTAATTCCAAAATATTTGTTATCACATACGTTAGTATCAGTATTTTATTAACAATTTTCAAGGTATAGTGTCACCTTACATGAGACTTTACGTAATAAATATATTACTTATAAAAAAGGTCGATGTTGTGTTATACAATGATTATTGTTAATTCCGAAATGTTTTAATCTATTGATTTCATAAGTGATTAATGCGATAATGGCAAAATAACGGAGTTACAAATATAAATAAAAAAAATACAAACAAAATAGGCCCTTTACATAAATTTTATTTTTGTGAAAAGTAAATTAGACGCAAGGCGGGATGTATGTTTTTATATCTAAAACGGAACTAGGACATGCAGTTCATCGACTCCTGGATCACCTGGGCTAGCTGCAGCTCACCCATCGCCTGGGGTGACAGGTTATACTGGTTCATTTTGATAGATAAATCGAGTGTATATGAACGAAGAGTTGAATTTCGCGTAACAGGACTGCGCGCATAAATCACAGTTGCAGTAATGATAGAGACAGAGCACTATGCTCGGTATACGAGCTGACGTTAAAATCAATACATCATTCATTTGATATCTGTGCATGTATGTGTTTGTAATATGCGCCCTTTGATACATTATATTAGTACAAAATTAACATGTGAATTCAAATTTATGTTTGAATAGAATTTCTCGCCCATTCTTCTCTACTAATGCATTCTGAATGCATCGATATTATTGCATTATTATTTTCATGAATTTTATGAAAGTAATTTTTATAGCAAATGGAACAATACATATGATGTTGAGCTACCTAATCTAAACGGGTAAATTTTACCTAATGTAGGGAAACCCAATAATCATGGAAATATCAAAAGGAACGGCGATATATATTTATATCTACGGTAGAAGGGGTCAACCATAAATTACGTTACGTAGTATAATTCTTAGACGAACTTTGTAAATATCTCTCCACCGATGTCTAGCCATATAGTGTCGCACGTTGTCGCTTCCTTTTAACATTTGACATAAAATATAGATGGCCCGTAAAAGGAGTTGCATAAGGACTAAGGTGTTACATCTCCGTAGCCAACAATTTTACAACCTTATCACATTTGGAAAATGGAGCGCGGCTTACAAGTGAACTGCATAGCGGGGGAAATAGGTCATTCGGCGGTACACTGTTATCTGCTTTTTGCATTCGGCCTCTAGTGATTACATAGACTCCAAATACATTATAAGCGCTATCGCGCATCTAATCCCGCGTTTTGTGACGACTTCTAATGAACCCTAATCGTTGTTATCTATTAATAACAATTTACTTAATATATGTTTGTGATCGCATTCATTTAGTTGGTATTAGTATTTCATATAAGAACCACACCGGGCTTATTTGTTGTATTATTTTATAATTTATTTAATTTTAGTAAGTAATAATGTGCGCGCCGTACACGTGTGGTATTGTATTGACGGTGGTTGGCGCCGGTCTTGTTATTATTATTTCATTAGGTGGTTTCGTAGCGGTGCCTAAAATTATTGTCAGTACAATTACGGATGTAAGTATTGTTTCAGAATATATTTTTGTGATAAATGTTTCATTATGAGAACTCGCAGCATCAATACATTATCAAATATCGACATACAATTATTCGGCATATCTCAAAGCAGAAAGTAATTTTTAATTTGTATTTGAGCCAATATAAAATATAATATTATACATTGTATTTTGTCATGTGCATCATGGTACGAGGTGGCACTCAATTAATTTGTGTTAGACTATCAACATAGCAAGCTATAAAGGATGCAGTGAGTTTAATTACAGGACAGAACCCAAACTAAATAGCAATATAAGTAAGAAAGACTCTAGTAATGTCTTCTTTTAAGCAAATACAGTGAAACATTCCACTACTACAAGAAGTCAGAAGACAAAGTGTCTGTGGATGATTATATTAATGAGTGGGTTAGAGATATACTTTTCAGCTGTTCAATGTACATTGAATGATTCTATTTCAAATAAATTCGTTAATATATATATTCCCTTTATATCAAAAGGAGATGTAGATAAATGTGAAAAAGCTGAAGTAAATATAGGGTAGAAACCACTGTATTTACTGCCCAACTACCTGTTTTCACGGCTTAAAAGTTGTAAAGTACGAATTAATTTAGCGTACCGTTCACGAATTATAAAGAAAATGTAGTTCCTATAAATAATTTCTTTATAAATCATAAATGATATACTATAGTAATTCTTATTATATAAGAACTTATTATATAAGATTTCACCCGCGTGAAATTTATAGCCTGTGTGTTGCCATCTATGTGAAAAAACTACAGTACACATTTTGCCGTTCTGTAGTTTTTCCGTGAATGAGTAACAAACATAACCATTCATGTACACAAAATTTATCATTTATAATATTAGTAATATTACTCTAATGACTATTTTGATAGTTTAATCCAAAAAAGAAACAGATATTACTCCATATAACTAATAATATTCGTTTAGATAAATAATAATTTGAATTTACTAGACGGTTCATTGCATTTGTTGTTAAAATATCAAATATATTTGATTAAATAAATAAAAGCTACGTTAAGCAAGTATTTCAAAACATTATACATATATATAGCACTAAGTGTAGAGTTGTGGGCTCTTTGCTCGGACGATCCTATTACTACCCGTTGCCATGGAAACTTCGGGAACGCTCCGAGGATATTGAAATTATATAACGAACTCTATTTCAAACTTTATTGCATCGCATCCTTGTAAATATGATATTCATAGTTGTAAACAAGATACTTCTAGAGCCTCCTTGAGTTGTATATGGGATGTCGGTAATTCTTTTGTTTTGCAATACTATTTTATACTAGGTACAATACCATAAATAAAATTGGATGAAATTACATGTAAAAAAAATTTTATCCTAATTTTCTTGTAAGATGGATATCATATCTTAAGGAATCTTATATGCGAATATGGACGATTATAAGGGCAGAGGAAGACCGAAAAAGAAATGTATGGACTATGTGAAAGATGATATGGTAAGAAAGGGAGTAAATAACGAGATAACTGCGAACAGGGATGAATGGAAGAGAAAGACATTACGCCGACCCCAAATAAATGGGATAAGGTAGAAACAGATAATGCTTTCTTATAAATTAGGTACATAACATATACATATATGAGCACTATAGCCCAATACTTATGTACTACAGCGTGGAGAAAATATGCTAAATTAGAAATATTATTATTTCGTTTTAGGGTCCTATACAATACATAAAATTTCATTATACTTGCGGACATAACGCATATGATGGAATTCTATAAATTACAACGTATTTTGTTTATTTTGCTTTCCATTACATAGGCTATGGTTTTTTATGGATGATAATAAAAGGTGCACCCGCCTGCGCTAATGGTTTACGCTGACAGGGCACCAGTGGAGAATGATAAGATGAGCATGAGGTCAGGTCAGTTAAGCCATCGTGACAAGAATTTATCACGATGGTTTCCGGGGGGAACCGCGTGGAGGTCAACATGACATGATAGCAATAAGACCATCAGTTCACATTACTAAAAATCCCCTTTCCTCCTATAGGCTATGGTTACTACTACCCATTCATTGTCCAATCCAAGTATTATACAAGTTGTATAAGCATTTCCAATTACACAAAAAATAATTAGGAAGCAATAAATTAACAATAAGTGTTTATTTTTCAGAATGTGGCGCTTATAAATGGCTCCGAACAATTTGAAAGATTTGAAGTAGTCCCTGTTATTATGAATTTTACTGTTCACCTGTTTAATATAACCAACCCTGACGAAGTTCTTGAAGGCGGAGTCCCTCGAGTTACTGAAATTGGACCTTACATTTACACGTAAGTTTTATTAAATTAAAGAACTGAACAATACCTTGTCGTAATTCGAAAGTTCAAAACAGATAAACAAAACGATCGTAAATAATAGTTATTATAATATATTGTACTCACATAAGTAATAATAATAAAACTAAAGCCCCTGAACGGCCAGGTGCTTATTATTTATCAGATATGATAATAAAATTAATATTCTATGCTACTAGATACTAAAAAGAATTATTAAAGTAATCACTTTCACATGTTTATTTTTATAGCCGATACTGTACTATTGATAATAAATACTGATGCGATACTGTATACTGATGCGGTACCTAATTAATCTTATATTCGACTTTAACAATTCAAAAATATTTATTTTATATAAATGTTACAACGAGTGCACATACACTATAACATTCATATGTGAATAAAACTTTGTTGCAGTAGTAGTTAGTAGTTACTTGTTTATATAGTATCACCAGTCACATTCGCCTGTAGTTCAGAACTAGAACTACAGAATAACGAGTCCTGCTCACTGAACAGTAATAAACGCAGTAACAAACTCAAGTTTATTTCATGCTGTAGATATAAAATTTTAAACTGTAAAATAAAAATAACCTTTACAGTTGATACTTACGCTGCTATCATGTGTATAGTTATGTATGTCGTAATATTGCACGTTCGTTACTTATACCTGTGCTTATACTAAGACACTGTCTGTGTTTTATGGTCTTAATATATGTACTCGGTAATAACAGTTAACTTTTAATTATTGCTAATTATTATAAACTACAACAGAGAAAGTAACCTTAGCAATTTAGCACGGCAGGTTCTGGAAGGTCGTTTACAGCGGGAGCTGAAAAAATTATGACCTAGCTTAGTGGTGTAGACCTGTTATGAATAAGAAAATGCTTATAGATATTTATAACCGTTTAATTACAGTTTAGACTTAAAAAATACTACTTATTATTAACACTAATAAATTACCATTAAGGTACTTTAATGTCTTACTGCTGACTGTTTTAAATAATTGATACTATGTAAAACAATAATTACGAAAGTTAATAAACCATTCCTTGTATATACATCCTCGTCATACTATGTATATATTTTCAAGTTCTTTTAAATCCATTCAGCCATAAAATGGCAACGAACACAATTTAGAATTTACAATATAATTATGAATATACCTACTGAAATTTTCCAATTTCTTCTTCACAGAATGGAACAAAAGAGAGTTATAGAAAGAATTGAAGATGACAGGCTGACTTATCATATTTGGAATTTAATGCAATTTGATCCAGTAGGATCGTATCCAAACACAGAAGACGATTTTATTACTATGCCCAACGTGCCGTACCATGTGAGTATCAAAATAATAATACTGCAACATATTTATAATTAATTAATTCTGCTACTGAATGCTGTGTCTGAAATGCAAACATATCATTTATGTTTTCATTTACAGCCACAAAGCACTCCGTAACTTTATATTTCATTTACGGAAATAAATGGAATGGAATACTTCTTCCATGAAATACAAAAAGCTTTAGCATTACTCGTCCGCTATTGTTTATTATTCACTAATTGTCAGTTTTTGTTCGTATTTGGTTACCTTTGTGCAATGTGTTTTCAGATTAATTATGCAGAGAATTTGCATTCACTGTTCTGAATTGAACATTGATTTTTGAAAGAATCTCCCTTCTCCCTGTTACTGTGGCATTTTATTGAAATATTTTTAATATCATAACTGCGAATTGCATTGTAATGTAAAAGTCATTTTGCATTTAACTTCACATTGAAGCTGGCGTAATTGTATCTCGAAATATTTCATTGTTTCTCTCGTTTCACGATTTTCACATTCACCGAACTTTGAAAGAAAATATTACACAATTATTCATTTATTAATAATTTGATTGTATAAAGCATAGTATGTAAATAATTGAAATTGATGATTATTTTCTTTATACTAGGTATATTTATTGGCTTTGCGAATTTATTAGAAAAGTATTTGATATTAATTCATGCTCTAGCGTAGGTTGCTATTTAATGATACTTGTATTGTAGGTTTCTTAATTTTCCATTATAACAGTGTGTGTAATTTACTATATCTACTTTTAAAATGTAGAATGCAGTGATTTAAAATCACTTGCATTTGTTCAAATGTGATACTTTTTCTAAACTTTAAATTCCCTTTAAAAAATGAATGTAACGTCACATATCAATACGAAAAGTTTACTATCGGATGATAAAGTACTATATATAACTATAACACTACGAGGGTTGTCGATTTCAATATCATTTAATATTTTTGATAGTGCAGCGGTTTGGGTAGGCGAACTAAATTTTATTAATTAAAAAATACAGAATATAATAATAATAAAAATATTTCACAAACAAGCGATTATTGTAAATAATATTCGATAAATAATATTAACATCCGGATTCTACTGAACTTAGAGTTATTAAGTAGTATTTATTGACATGTGGACTTTTATCGGCACCGATTGACGTATGAATGCTAGTATCGTAATTAAGTATACTTATTATAAAAAAATACTCCACTAATACACGTTGTTTATCATGTAGAGGTGCAAATGAGAAGGTATGTCAATTAATTAAAACATACGCTTATTACAGACTAACCAAGCTCATTTTACACCCGCTGCTACTGTATGCAACGTGAAAGTTATTACATTTCAGAATATTAGTTATCATTAAATAGACTTTATAAAACACGTGTAACTTACGGACTAATAAGCAACACGTGTAAGGGTCGACTATTACATTTTACTTTCACATATACGTTACAAAATCATTAATATAAGACAATTGTCTAAGTTGGTTCTTATTTATACTCTTATTTCATTTATATAATTTTTATTATTTCTCTGATTCTATTCACAATTTACTTTCATAACTCGCCGCATGCATAGATTCAGGCGATACAGATTTCTCCCTCAATAAATACGCAATATATTGAGTAAAGCTCAGTTTTACCCTTGCGATCACGTTCTACCATCGTTGGTTACCTGCATGTAGTAATTGGATTGTAGTTCAATAAAAATATCTTATATGATACAGAAGTTTATAAATATTTTGGTACCTGTTTAAAATAAACAAATATTTGGTATCAAAAATAAAAGATTAACATATCTGCTTTATCAAATAAATGATTAATGATAAATAATTAATGGTCATTAGGAAAAAATTTATTACGATTTTATCCTACTATCTCGACAGTAATGCGAAGGTCATATCATTTTCCATAGTTTACAATAACAGGCTTAGAAAAATCGCCCTTTGAAATTCTGTGAATTCATTGAAATTGGACCGACATCGACGCACGAGATATTTGCGTTTTTCTGCTATTTTGATTGCATATATTCAAATATTGGTTATTTGTTTCCGCCAAAAAATCACAAGGATTTGATATAAAAATTCATATTAAATCCTTGTGATTTTTCGGCGGAAACAAATAAAAATATTTAAACTGTATCCAATATCGAAACATACGCTTTTAGTACAAATACCACAGTACGAATGTCCGTTACTATTTATTTAGGTTTCCATCGAAAAAACCTATAAAAAATACCTGAACTTTATTGAACATAGAAAAATTTTGCTTTTGTATTTTGTACGAATGAAACTTGGTAGCTTATTATTGATTATAGTTATGTATGTAATGAAATTAAATGAAATTGTATTTCATTTAATTACATGTGTTTATTATGTGTGTTTTTAACTTTCCTGTAGATTCATACACTATACTACAATTTAGTTTTTTATTATAATTACTTAATTAATAACAGAAGATTTGTTTTAGGCGGTACTGGGCACGACTGAGGGAGATTTTCCATTCCTGATGGGAATAATAAATTCAGGTGTCGACGGCATATTTGGTGAATATAACCAACCTATAGCCACCTTCCGTGTTGGGGATATACTTTTTAAAGGAGTCCCAATATGTAAGGACCCAGTCGTCGTGAGTGGCGTTGTGTGCACTGTGATTAGAAGCATGCTTCCAGACATACAGAACATGGTATTGCAAAACGACGGCTCTATCCTCTTCTCTCTATTCGCATACGTAAGTTTTCATTGTTACCGCCAGTTACTCTTAGGTACTGAAATTGTTTTGAATAATTAAACATTGCTTGCTCTTACAAGACTAAATGAATTATTGACTTGTCGATTTTTTCAGTAAATTAAAATTATTATAGCTTAGACTTAGTTTCATCAAAGAAAAATTATACTTTCAGTGTTTCTGTAATTCAACTGTCCCATTAATTGAAATAAGTACTTATTATTTATAAAGTTTTTATAACAATTCTGTTAAAATACCTAAAATGAATAGGCTTTCCTATAAAGGCAACATATCTTTTTCATAAATTCCCCCTGATTCTTCCGATATTTCGTTTGCTTATGGGCAGGTATCGTCAAGTGACTAGTGACTCATTTAACGGTATGTATCATTTAAGTCGCAATAGTAAATTATATTTATTTATTTTTTAGAAAAACATGACCGAAAGTTACCGATACGAAGTTTATCGAGGAATAGAAGATGTTCATGATGTAGCGCGTATCATCAGATACAATAATTTACCTTTCTTCCAATATTGGCTCAACCCTAATCCCGGAGAAATCAGCGTGTGCAACATGATCAATGGAACTGACTCTGGCTTATACAATCCGTTTATGACTAAAGATAAACCCATCTATGCAATTAATCCTGATATTTGCAGGTAAACTCCCACAAACTACTCAGTTTGTACAAAGTACTAATCGCCTTTGAGATATTATGCACTCTCGTATCATACAAGGAGGATGCTACAGCAAACGTTATGCGTAATACGAAGTACAAAGACGTAAGCTTGCCATAGAATACACACTAAGTCGCTTGCGCTTCGTAAATTTAATTAATACCGATTTAATTAAATTTACGGAAACCTATTTAGCAAAACTATAATAGATAAAGAGACTAACATGTATATGTACGAGTATATATATATATATATATAATTATTCCCTTTCTTAATAGTTAATGAAATCACCACATGGATTACGTATTTATAAGTCATTAACATTTAAGTATTGATTACCGAGGAGCATGAATGTGTGGCTAGGTATCGGAAACCGCGTATCTAGGTGATTCAATTTGTTATTGGTTTTTCAAAGCGATGTGCTCGTAGCCTACATTCTGTAGTGTAAAATGTCATCGCTGCCTTTGTTTAAGTAAATTCAATTTGAATTGTAATAATCTAATGCATATGTGAACAACCCTATCGTAATAAGTAAAATCCTTAAGATAAGAACAAATATATTGCTTAATATAAAAGATTATATAGGTAGATACTCGTAAACTAAGGAATTTAAAACTTTATAAGTAAATTCATACATTATTTACACACACATACATACACACTAAACGTCCAATCACAAAAGTAGTAGGTAGTTATTGTGCATCTTGGTTCGCAATCTTTGTATGTGGCCAATAACCTTTTAAATAACGGTATGGAATGTACACAATACAAATAATTTGACTATATGTATCAACTTCGTATATTGGACCATATGGCATTGTACAATTGTTGAACAAATACCGTTACATCAAGATTATAAAATATTCACTATAGTTAGCGTTTATCCTTTCAAGATATTGAATTATCTGTTACAATAACTTATAATACTTGATTTTCTGATGAAAATGTGTTCAAGAAATTTGTTTATTAATTTATACTACCTATATGAATGACCCATACATTCCCTATCATAAAATTGTATTATAAACTTACTTCAATATGAAGTGAGAGTTTTGTTGAAAGCTGAAATTGAAAGCAAAATTAGGTTAATTTAGGTCGGACACTTAGTGTAGCGCAAAGTCGCCTGCAATAAGCTTTCAAAAGCGACTAGTGCACGCGGTATGAAGCTCACTTAAGCAGAATTGAACTACTAAAAGAGATTAAGCCACTAATCTACGCTAAAAGCATCATGTTAGATTATTGTAACTATTCGTGAATCGATCCAATAACCGAATAATAGATGGGAATATCGCTACGATTTTTATTTTTTATTGAGTTTTAATCTAATCCCTGGGTTCACTACCATATTTACACATACGTATTTACAAATTATTATATATATATATATATATACATGTATACATATGCGTCAACACATCAAACTAAATATATGTACGAATCGTTCAATTGTGGTTCCAATGAAGCCAATTGAATATTTCTAAGCTTACCCAAATATTGAATAACTAATAATACTTCACAGATCTATCAGATTAGATTTCGTGAGGGAAATGGAATACGAAGGTGTGCCAGGGTACAGGTACACCGTTGACGAATCCATGTATGCTGATGACTACGGATGTTTCTGTCTGAATATCACCCAAGGCATCACCAGAGAAAATGGCTGTTTGCTTAAAGGAGCTTGCGAGCTTTTCTCGTGCGTAGGTAAGAAAAGTGTTTTCGTTTATTTTCTAATTAAAATAAATTGTTATTTGTTCTTTTGTCAGCTTTTCTAATATTACAAACGGTGTTTACAGTTGATTGATAATATCAAGTGCCATCTGATTAAGAACGGTCCTCATTTAAAGTTTAATATAGAAAAAGTTAAGAAATTGTTTGAGTAAAAGAATTAGTACTAATATGCAAAGAAATTGGTACATAGATGTTTTATTATGTAACTACGAGGACCTATGATTGTCAGATAGCGATAAGTAATATTTGCGAAATTTAGACTAAATTTTTCGTAGCGTCGTATCGTCGTCGACGTATGTCTATTATTTTATCCGTTTATGAATCCGTTTATAAGGAAGTTTACAATAAACTTATTAGTAAGAACTAATGAATGAATACTTGACCTATAAACCTTAAAAGTAACAGATACCATAGGTAATTTATTTTTTATCTGTAGCACACAATCATCACACTACCCAAGCGAGGTTAAGCTGGTGATAACAAATTGTGATGCGCATTAATCTATACATGTAAATCATAGATAACTATCAGACTAGCGCGAGTTCCATAAATTACAATAATTTAAGCAATACTTTACTTTTACAAAACACATGCATTACAATTTAATATAATTGTGAGGTCATTGTGATATATGCACATTAAATAATATAATTAAAATGGAAAACTTCCTTTTAAGAATACAGATTTAATTACTTTCTTTAATCTATATCCTAAAGAATCATAATATCCTTGTTATATATAAAAACTGAGTCGGTAAATAAATAAAAAACAAAAATTAACGTGTTTATTAACTTCAAATAATCTGGTGGTTTTATTAACTAAAGTAACATAAAACTCTGCACAATATCGAAAAATAAAATCGGTAAATTTTCGACGGAAACAAATAAAAGTAGGTAATTTGATCCGTACTACAGTACGTATACCTACGTGAGTCGAACGTAAATTAATTATGTGCAACTCGAACAAACTACTGAGGCACAAGGTGAATAAAAACGAGGCGCAAGATTTTATGTAAATAAGAGAAATAGACGAGACGTAGCCGTAACTCAGAATTAATCTAAACGTTTTCAAGGCAAATAAACGTCCCTTCCTACCGAGGATTGAATTAATAAACCTGGACTGAAATATTAAATACTGCAGTCCAGAATAGGTAAATGATTAGTTACCTATTCTAGACTTTAGTATTTTGCTCGAAAATACTGGCTTCTGTGTTAAACTGACATGAGAGATTTATCTACATACTTTGATAAATTGATGTAATACCTCAGTAACAAAGGACCGCATAATGTTTTGCCATATATGCGTACTCATTTATATATATGTATTACTCATTTATATGAATAACAATGACACTCAATATACGTATATATTTTAATACAATGATTTGAAACTACATGTTTTACTTAAATTAGATCTCATTTGGTCGTATTGTCCATGTTACTCAATTTATATTTATATAGGTAAAAACAATTTTTGAAAACGGGCCAGTATTTCTAAACCTATCCATTAGAAACACAAATATTTCCTCTAAGTAATATTTACCTTACATAAAAAGAAAAACTAATTTACTTTTAATTAATTTATTACAAATACTTAGTCATAAAATAGCAATTATCGTATCGTTTACAAGCCATCGTATATTTATGAGTGATCGGTCACGATTTAAGTTATGGATATGATTCGTTTGTATCTAAGTTAATTCATAAATAATGGACAAATATAAAAATAGGCGAGAGGCCACTGCCTCACCTATTGACCCGCACACCGCACGCTGCGGAAGCTGTGCCGAGTGTTTACTTAACCGCTACGTAGCAAGGAACCACAGAAGGCCAACAACAACCAGATACTTATTATAACATTACTAACATTTCTTAGTAATTTTACTACTACTTTGATAGATTTGACACATTTTAGGCTCACCTATGTACTCTGTTTTACCCCGGTATATCATACAAACTTGAAAATCCAAATTTAAAGTTCCTGGTGTAAAACTTGACATTTTCTAATAAACATTTATTTACTTTTTAAACAACAGAATGTTATTTAAAAATATAAACACGTACAACGGCGATGACGCGCCCTGCTATACCAAGGTGAACCGCCGGAGCCCGTCGGTCGCCGACATCACGCGTCTTGCTGAGTGCAGCACTGTAACACCTTTATACCTTGTCATCTCACATAAAAATCCTTTATCACCCGCTCCAAAGTGTTCATCTAATAAGGTTACCGTTTAATACGGGCGCGACACAGATAGTGCGCGGGCGCGCGGCGGGAGGCTAAATAAGTAAAAAAGCATGCGCGTGCACATTTTGATCAATCGCAAGTAACCATGATCCGCGACGCATGGTGGACGTGCGCCCTCTTAGCGCTGGCAAGCGCGCGTATTTACGAGCGATGTGAATTTGCAAAAGAACTAATGTCATATGGCGTAGAGAGCAGCCATATTTCTACGTGGGTGTGCATCGCGTATCACGAGTCCCGCCTGGATACCAGTGCCCAGAATCACGGCAGCGGCGATCACGGTATCTTTCAAATCAGCGAGCTGTATTGGTGCGGACCCGGTAAAGCCTGCGGGGTCCCCTGCACCGCCTTCCGAGATGAAGACATAAAAGATGACGTCGAATGCTCGCTGATGATACACGAAGAACACACGCGCTTGCAAGGCAACGGATTTATGGCGTGGGTGGTGTATCCGCAACACTGCAGACAAAATACAAAGAAATATCTGGCCGACTGCGATGGTTTACCAAAAAATGCTACAATTAAAACATCGTTCAATTCTCACAAAATACATGACTTTCTGGACAACAATATCACGCATTCATACAACCCAGTCAGGATCAGTGGTCGACAACCGTCATATTTGACAGTCAGCGCTTTAGTTAATAAACATTATGAGAATGATATCGAACTATATTATACCAGGACCACATCAAAAAATTGGTTAAATTATAAAATAGACAATATTGATGAACTTACACTTCCCGTGTTAGGTAATAAACCTAAACCAGTTCCGACGTCCCAAACTGTGAGCTCGACCCGTTACTCTATCACATCTACAACAGCCTCTCCTCTGAAGCCATGGAGAACAATAGAAAGCAATCAGTTCCGCAATAAACTAACATATGATGACAAGGATTCAAGAAAAGCGAGCGTGACTAAAGATGCGGCAAAATATGATAAATTTCCAATAACATATTCCTCAAATACAAATTCGCCAACTTTCGCACCAACGACGTACAGAACACCGGCAACATATAGGATTTCTACTATAACAACCACTTACAGACCCCAAGTGATATCATACAGACCGGCGACATTATCTACAGCTTCGTACAGATTTCCTATCGCAACTACAACGCTGAGACCGCTCTCAACAATAGTGTCGCATCCATTTTCTCAGAAATTTTCATTGCTTCCTACTCAGAGGTCATTAACTACGAAGCCATCTTGGCATCAGCATCGAAAATTGTCGGAAGAGCAGGTGGTCAATTTAACACCGAGATCAAATTTTGGACAACGGTTTTGGACAACGCCGTCTCCACTGAGCACAAAAAAGACGAATTCAGCAACTAATAGACCAACGCTGCAAAGATCTACTCAATCAATTTTCGACTTATATTTGAATCCTACAAAACGCCCTCCTATATCTGCATACAATTTTCGCTCGACAAACGAAAGTCCGTTTAAACTGAGGATATTCGCCGGCGGCACTACCACCCCGTCTCCTTTTTTAAAAAGCGCTACCTTCCAGAGCGGTTCTCGTAATCAATTACGAAGAGACATTCAATTCCACACTTAAATAATTGGTCAATTTATTGTGTTTACGTAGAAAATATTATATGTGAAAAACTAAAAATTAAACCAAATAAGAAATTCCTATTTTACATCTATAAATATAAAGCTATAAATTCTATAACACTGACTTCGTCATTTTTACAACCTCCAAAAAGCAATAAGTTGTTATTTATATATTATTGTATGAAAACAACAATTAACATTTTAAATAACTTGTCATAATACGGAACTAAAATGTGAGAATCACTTTATAACATGCATTTAATTATATGCGTTAATAGGCATAACCATTAATCTTAGTCATCAAAAAATTGTACTTATCCAATTCATATTTTCGGCTAATAATAATAATCCTTAACAATCCACATATCGCCATCTCCCAAGATAAGCAGAACTTGTATTACAGGCGCTAAATTACTGATATATAAAACTTTAACACTTTTTTCGTAAATACATACATAATATACATAGAAAACACACAGAATCCCTATTAGACAAAGAATCATACTTAACAATACAAATTATTACACCCTGATATTAATCGAACCCCCGCCCTTTAGAAGTAAGGCGCCATGATAAATCGCTAGACCATCGAGAACTTGTAAGTTGCAAGCTACACTCATAATTATTAGGTAAAATAGCTTTGAAATGGCTACTTAAGGACAAATATTAATTAACAAATGACATCTTCGCATTCAATGAAAGCAAGTCGATCAACAAATGACACCTGTTTAGCCGGTTAACTGCTCTTGAGGAATATCATATATGACATATACATTAATTTTCATATATTATGCTGTGATATGCCAATAATTAATTAAAATTATGTTCACTCATTTCATTCCCTTAAGTGTTCAATGTATTTATTTATATTACCTTAAAACTTGTAAAGTACTTTTACAATTAATAATTTTTGAAAAATTCTTTTAATACCCATGAACTCATTATGGACCTACTTAAGAAACATTAGGAATTATAATCATCTGAATTTATCCTCAGCTTAATATTTTTTTTCCGTATCACACAACGGTTCAATGATTTTTAAAGACAATTGTTAATAATTAATAAATTGTTAATGACTAGGTAACTCATACGTCAGCAACCACTTTAAAAAAAATCTGTTTTTTTTTAAACTACGTAGGTGGCTAACAAGCATAGGGTCCATAGGCTATGACAAACGTTTACCGAAGTCTATGGATGTCTGAAAAACAAGGGGTGTCACGTGCGCGCCACGTACCTCGGCAAGTAGTTCATTCCACAATCGAAGTGTACACGGATAAAATAATATCTACATTCTGAAACAAATTCCAAGTGCTTATTGCACTTTGGCAGTCTATTCTTGCAATAAATTTCAATCAATCGATATGGAATGCGTGTGTTCGTACACTAGAATTGGATATTAGTTGAATATTTCGTAGTCATTGAATGAATGAAATGTGATCGAATTATGCAGTTGCCTCTTGATTTCCATTCAACGGAACTGCACTAAATTCGATTAGTTTCATATGGATATTGATATTAACTAACTCAAGCATATTAGCTCGCTGCTCCGAGATATGTAAATTTATATTATAGATACCTACATAGAACCGAACATTATGTTTGAAAAGTTTAAGGACTGTTCTAAGAATCACTTGAGACACGAAAACCACAATCTATAAATAATGGATGAGATCCAAACTTGTCATATAAATCTTTGACGACAACAGCCAGTATATCATCAACCTGCCCGCCATTTAAAACCAGCTAACATAGCCTTAACAACGAATTTCTATAATGACTTATATAATTGAGATAATTAATTAATTTGTAATTTATTAAAACGACGCGAATCGAAGATTTTAACAAAAATAACCCAGATCTTTGTGTAAATTTCAACCGTAGTTGTAAAGTACCACACATATATACATTTTATTAATCAATTTTCCATAACATTTAATAAAACGAATTATAGGACGATATTATAGAATAAGACGTTATCAATATTTACTTTCATAATTTAAATTTACTTATATAGTTTAATACCTTGTACAGGCAAAGAAAACTGTATTTTGAAATGCATTTGTATGGAAATAATACTCTGAATAGCATATTGCAAGTGTGTAAGTACGTGCAAGTACTTTAAAAATATCAGACTTACAACCACTAAGCAGTGGCAAATAAAACCACTTTTATTTTCCCTATTTCAAAGGAACAACCTGAACGAATGTTTCTTTCAGATGAGTTTCCCATCTCTTAAGAAGCTTAAAAATGAAATTGAAAGAAACCAACAGTTACTTTATAAAATGCTTGAGGCATGAATACTTAGGTATTAGGTCTGGAAAAATTTATAGAAATATGCTTTAAGACCCTTGTGTCTAGATTCTTTGATAAGATATAATAGTTAGTTTATAAATATGTTTTAATGCTCTTATAAAAGCTTAATTTTTTTCCCTACAGTGATATTTTCAATTCAATCTCCAGTAAGTAATTCTGAGAATAAAAATATAATAATTGAAGCGAAAATAACAATTACGTATTGACTTTAATCGGAATGTAGGATCTTTAATGCGGTTCAACAATTGATGAAGCTGTTTGCATTTCTTTATCATATACAAATGTACTTTATCGCACAAGGAAATATCACTCGAAAAGTCACAATGGTGCAACCAAACTTATTTATTTATAACTTAGTAATGATTTCTAGTTCATAATAAAGTTATACCTACATGCTATCTCTGGTTTTAAACTTCTAACTTTCTTCCACTTAACAAGCGAACTTCTCTATATTTGCCTCGTATCGAACTAAAAAGTTATTACAGTTTGTTATAGAGTTCCTGCTATCTTCTTATACCAATGTGAAGACAGTAAAATTCGCATAACAATTGCATGTTGTAGATACTGTAAATTACATTTCTTATATGTGATAAACGACAGGAGAAATACTATACCATTTTCCAGCGAATATAATTTTGAATAAATATTTGGAGTTTAATAGACTTTTGGGAAAGACAGAGAAAGTGAATGCAATTACATGAAAGATTTTGAAGCAATATTATCATTGGAATGAAGATTTGTGTTGTCAGTAAATCAATATCCTAGCAAACTACCTATTCGGCGTAAGCGTAAAACAAGACAACAGTTATATAATAAATATAATATGAGTATATTATACTTATTATGGAAGGTCTATTTGACATTTGTAAATTAGATCACGTTCTCTAACGTTTATATATAGTCATGCAAATTAACATAAAATTTATTAATTAATTAATATAAGGAATTGAATTCATAGAACAAACAATTATATAGTTGACATTTATCAGGGACCCAGTTGGAGAAACAGAATAAATTGTTATCTTTTATTACTCATTTTATTCGATTTAGGTGAAATAATGATATTTCTTTCAATGTAGGTACTTGCGTATCACATGCCAATTACAGAATGAATTTTAACGATATTTCACAATTTTAAGTTACTACCTAATTATGACAATGTTGTCATAACACGTATGTATATATAATACTTGTATATATACTAGAATCATTTTACTACTTAAAAATACTATTACTTACTGGTATAACTATTGCAACTAATTTATATCGTGGGCAGAAAGTTCAGATGCAACTTAGAAATCAATTCCTATCCTAAGTATAACGTATAATAAATTTCACACGAGAAGTTAGCAATGAAGTGGATAGAAAAGTTTTGTCTGTTGAGATAGTTGAGAGATGAGTCTGTTAGAAACTTTTCTACAGCACTTCTTACTTCTTACATAACTGTGGTGGCATTTTGTATTTACTATAATGAATAACATCAGCGATAGGTTTTTATAAAATAAAACACATAATTAGCGATTTATATAGATACATATATTAGTTTGACCTGAAATGAGAATAGCTTTTATATTAATTTTAAACTTCTTCGTAATGGAAAACTAAACAGAAATATAAATAGATAAGTACAAAAAGGTTTTGTTATAGGTTTGTTACTACCTTTGTAATCAATAGGTATATACATTACTATTACTACTGTATATGGTATAGTAATACGGTGTATAGTAGTAATGTACAGCCCTTGGCTTACACTCTCTTTCTGTATATTAATTACTAATTTTGATCTTACGTTACAGGTGCATACCTTGTTTTGACCCATCCGCACTTCCTCTTTGCTGATGAAGCATACCAAAATGGCGTGATTGGGAATATGCCGGATCTAGAGAAACATGTTCCATTCATTGAAGTAGAACCGGTAAGAGAATTTATGGTACTTTTCTCACTAGTCGATACTTACCACATACCAAATCGTCAGTATTTGTCTGAATGAACTTTCATTCTGGGTATTTCAACCGCATTGTTGATAAAGAGGTACATACGGTATTCATTTATAATACCTTCTTCGTGACAAAGTATAGAATACAGTGACGTATTGCCAGTAAAGGAAGAATGAATGAAAATAATATATATTCAAATGCAAGATGTTTGTTGCAAGAATCTATTGATCTGTATATATACCTATTTCTGAAAATAATAAGAGTTTTGTACTATATATACCTTGGATTCTTATATACATATGTCCATATAGACCCTGGGTTCAAGGCTCAATATTTAGGGTATTACTTGGTTTATATTTAGCTTGACTGTAGCGATTGAATGTCGCCAGTATACAACCACGAATGTCCGATTTTTTTTATGATATTTAATTATATGATATACAAATATATACTAAAACCTTCGTTTCAGTACACGGGTATAGTTTTGAGTGGTGGCAAGAGAGCCCAGTTTAACGTCTTCTTAAGACCTATACGTGGAATAACAGCGACACAAAACTTCCGAACTGTCTTGACTCCATTGTTCTGGGTTGATGAAGTAAGTAACACTATACATTATTTTAAATTGTCAGCTTACTTGAGTTTATTTATTGTTGTTACCTCACGACGCCCTAATATTTGAACTCAAGCGATAGCACACACGTGATATTTAGGGCAATGTAGGACATAAACTTTCTATCTTAATCAATTATTGTAACTCTTACGCGGACTAATCACAGATAAAATTTAGTAGCTACATAAATAGGTACTGTTTATTTTTTATCGGTGATATTAGAATAATATGGATATATAATATTATTATAATATCACCCCAGACTATGTTACCAGTTAAAAATTATAGGATGCCTCCAGCTTGACAGTTTCTAATAGATAGATCCTCCTCTTCCTCCAGATTTTAAAATAGAGTTATACCTACTTATTGATCTACATACATACAGTTATACAGTTGAATTGTTGAATATAGGACCTTCGGAGGTACTTAAATATTATTTTTGTTCTCAGGGTATGTCATTAACAGAAGAGTTTGTGGACCAGATAAAAGATGAATTATTATTAGCATTAAAATTAATAGACATCATTATACCTATATTACTATCGGTGTTCAGCATTATGTTAGTAGCTGGAATTATAATGATAACCAGAAGAAAGCTCAACAATGACAAGCTTGGTGACAATATACCGACATCTTATAATAAATAAGTGTTTCAAACACGTTTCATTTCATTATGCAGCAATAATAATATAAGCGGTTATCTGCTTGCCATCTCAAATATTTGATTGTAATCAATTAAATATTTGTTCAAAACGGCAGTTTTGTAAATAGCGACCCAGCTAGGAGAGCCAGAGTGCTCACATAAATCGTTCTCACCATATAAATAGACTAATACATTTTGGTTTTATGGTCGTAATTATATTAAAATGTAAATTCAGAAATAAATTACGTTTTGCTATATTTATTCGTTTGGCGAATGTGAACACAATATTTAATTTGGCTTACTTACATAAGCTGGAAATCTCAAAATATTATTACGGGTTTAATATTTACCAAGCTTCTGTAATTCAGGCTTGTGTTAAGTGCCAAACGTATAATTGGAGCATTATGGAGATATCCAATAATATAATTAGCCGGTAGTCTAATTCAAATAATATTATATTGAGGTTTCAGTAAGTCATCAATAGTTATATTTGTAACCTAGGATTGGATGGTACTACTGTATTTAAAAAATATATTTATAAGTAGGTGTTATGTGTAATTTTATGTATTATATTTAAATTAACAAACCTACATCGCTAATTATGTTAGATACTGGGTAAACAATGTGTGGTATGGATAAGCAAATATTTCTTGAACGCTTATTTATTTTTGATCTCAAGACATTACGAGCAGTGGGGCATATGTACAAATCCCGCAACTGCCGGTGGTGAAGGTTAGACCTAGTGCTTGTTTTCTAAAGGCTTCTACGGAAGACCGGGGTCGTGAAGATTTTCTGACATATTATGCTAAGTGCATATCTTGTTAGTGCCACACTGTTGCAATTATACTGTTAAGTTCTATTTGTTGTTTTGTCATGGAATAAAATATTTTTTTGTTTACACATTCTTTTCTTAAACAGGAACCCATCATAATCCCTTAATTAATTATTAATTAATAAAAAAATACGAATTAGTAAACAATTGATTTAAGATTTGTTGCAATTACAGATGAGAATACTAAATAATAATAAATAACTAATGTAAACAATACAAGCAAGTAAATAATATATTTATTTTGTGAAAAATTATAACTAAACTACAACATATTTAAAATGCAAACTAAATAAATATCTATATATTTTTTAAATGACTTTGTCTATTAACTATTATCATTACCTCTCCTACAAATAGTCTCTTCTTCGGCTTGACCAGGCTTTTAGAATACTAAGACTGGTACTAGACAGGACCAAGTGAGATTATTAATATTGGTGCTTTTGGTGTGCACCAAGTTTTTTATTGTTACAAGGGCTTTCTAGTCCCCATTACTAACAAGTCCTACCCTTTATTAAATATTTTGTTATAGATATTTTTATGCCACACGATCGCACTAAACTACGAATATACTGCTCTAAAAGGTGTACGCTGGCGGTGCACCAGTGCAAAATTTGTGCAAGATTTTTAGGCCATCATGACAAATTCACCAAGAATAGCCATGATTACCAATTTTATTTCTAGCATTGCCCTTTTCATTTGACTACTATACTTAATAATTTTCTATGGTTTCTAAGGGATAAGCTAATAAAATACGGGTTTGAAGAGGTAAAAATAAATAAAATGAATGGATTTCAACATTGAGCTTTATTCAAGAATTAAACTCGATTACGCCATTTATATAAACACAGTCAATATAAAATTAATGCACACAAGCAATTTAACATAACTTGTATACGCTTTGAAATAATAAGTCTTCTTTTTGATATAATTGGAAACATCACAATGTACCGAGGCTGATAATGGGGTTTAGTCTTTCGTGGACTAGATAATAAAAACATAAATAATGCATTGAGATTTCGTAATATAATTAAATTGACTATTTTCTTCAATGTATAAAATAATTCATAACAAATTTAATAAACAATACATAATATCACGCAGACCGCGTTATCAGCCTCATACGCACTCTCAAACATAATCTCGCTGAACAAATTAAAACATCTGCATAATTTTCGAAATAATATACATTTATATATTTTATAATTAGATCCGCTTATATTATGCAAGGAACACAATAATATACTTTATGTATTTAACACACATTAAAACTGTCCTCACAGTTGATTGGCAAAGACTAACCGAACATCGTCGACGAGGAGAGACAGGGGCATTAATATCGGCTAAAACTTGTACACTTATGCTAGTTTCATAGAATAATCACAATAATGATAATGTTATTAGACAGAAATTCGTAGATTATATTAGACATTTATTAATATATTTTACCCGTTTCTAACTTACACACATATCTGTAATTACTGTGTATCGACATCCCCGCAAACTTTTACTACATTCCTTTCTATTGCAGTTCATGACACTGTGCAAGTCATAGCCCATAGCTTTATAGAATACCCCGTCCATCTTAAACATCCATTAATAATTACAGACAGTAGTTAAACAATCGATTAGTAAGGGATAGAGGACTCGAATAATGACCAAAATATATTTAATCTAAAAATTTAGCAATTATACTGTAAGGGCTTTTTAACAAATAATTACTTAAATAAATCCAGTCCTAACAGTACATAGGCTCATTCATAATTTAACTAAAATATACTATAAAAGATATACATTATTTACAGAACGGAACTCAATTAAATTTAGTTTTAAAAGGGTTTCTGGTCAAAATGTCACGAAAAATGACATTTTATAAAGAACTAGATCATTATATACAGTATATTTACAAGATTATTATAATCTAAAAGCTAACCTTATTCTACCAAATGACTTTTATCGTCATTGTTACGCTTACGTCCTTTAGCATGTGCTAACATCGTAACTAATTTCTTGTGGCTATCTCCAACGATCCATCCATGCTGTTGGAGATGCTCTTGTTCATCGTCGCCCTCTGAGGACCAGCAGTATGTCGTATGGCGTGGCCTCCCTCTCAATCCAGACGGGCCAGGATTGACGGGCGGACCAAGCGACACTTGTACCCCTGTCGAGACACTACCGCCCCCTCCGCTGGTACTGGCCCCATTTCCTCTGACCAAAGAATCTTCAACTAGGAATTTACCAGTCCCGCTACCAATTGCAACGCTACTCGACGTGTTACGATTACTACTAGTTACCCTGCTTTCAACGTCTTGCTTTTTAAACAAAAACTTGTTGCTACCTTTACGCCCGCTCGATTGTTGCCCTTCTTTCTTTTTTCCTTTTCTTTTCCGGGCGCCACCTAGTACTGATTCAGCGCTACATGGTCGCGGAGGTCTACCATCTGGTTCAGATTCCGAACTCCAACTTTCAGCTAACACATTCTGTTTTCCTACAGTGCATTTTCGCCGCGCTCTTTGTCGAGCTACTCCAGCGTCATCTAAAGTTAGATCCAGCGAGTCAGTAGAAAACTCGAAACTCATACTGACGCCGTCGCTTTCTGCCCGCACTGGCGATTTATTTTTTGAGTCATATTTATCAAACAGGTCTTCATGAGAAGTTTGGGACGAATCTCCATGTAGTGGTGAGGTGTTTCCATATTTATTTAAGGATGTAGTATCATATATCTTTGGAGATGGAGTTTTATAATCCTTTGGCAGCGTCGTATCATGCATTTTGGATGTACTAGGACCATAATATTCAACTGGTAAATTGGTCTCATATTGTTTTGATGTAGACGGACCAAATTTATCCTCCTCCAAAGAATTTCGTTTCTTTTTAGAGGAATGCCTAAATTCTTTAGATGATGAGCTATGTTTTTTCGATATTTTTTTACTATCTTTTTTATGAGACGAAGTAGTGCGAATTTTTTTAGGTGAAACAAAATTATCTTTAATTGTAGATACATCATCATTATGAGGTGTAGTCGGTTGTGAATCATCTTTAGATTGATCAAGATCTTTAGATTGATCTTTAGATGATTCCTTATCATTTTTTTGTGGTGGTGACGTACTATCCCTTTTAGACGTGGAAGGATTTGGTTCATCTTCTAGTAAACTGTCAAACAGCTGATCTAAATTAGCTTTAGGCTTTGTAATAGGTTCCTTGTTCTTATTCTTCTTTTCAGTTCTCACTGCATTGTGTTTAAATATCTTACCCATTACGGCATTCTTTTCAACAATATCCTTCCTTTTTAATGAAGTTGAATTTTTCTTGTCATTTATTCCTTTATTATTTCCTGTTTCGCTAGACACTAAACTATTTTCCGTCTCATCACTATTGACATAATCGTCTGACATATACACAAAGTCATCACCGTATGAACAACTTTCGCTTGAGTTTTCTATTGCGTCCTCAACAGGATTACACTTCGAGGTACTCGGTTGATCTTTATTAATACTTTTAAATCTTTCCATTAGAGTCGATGGTCTAAATTCAAATAATTCTGCATCTTCGTTATCCATAAATTCATAAACGTCTACTTTTTTCTGTGGCTCAGAATTAACCTCGTTACTTCGATGTTCGCTCTCAGATTTGCTACTTGATTCAGAATCTTTTTTATCTCTCTTTTTTTTTGAAGTTGTTTTCTTTTTCTTCTTTTTCGAAATTTCTATAGGCGGAACTATAGTGGACATATCAATATCCGATCGCGGGATGGATACTTTGATGCCGTCAAAGCCTTTCAAAGCACCTTTGGTTAGAACTTGAGTGCTTTGGGAATTTTTCTTAGAACTCTTCTTGTTTTTTTTCTTATTAGATTTCTTTCGCCCCTTGCGGCTGTAACAAATAAAATAATAATATTAAAATTATTAAAAATTTAATTACTTTACAGAAGAGATAACTGACATGCGTTAAGTATTTACCTGATACTTGGTTTCGCTTCAATTTGTGTTTGTTTCGCAGCAGCTGCTTGAGATCTACATTTCCTTTTAATTTTATCAAATTTATCTTCATACATATCTATATCTTCTATAATATCAGGATACATCTTTTCTTTATATTCAGGTATTTTTTTTGCTTTAGGTGCTAAAGTTTTATCGGTAACACTCAATTGATTTGTTTCAAAACGAGATTCATCTAAATTAGAAGTCGAAGAACAGTTTTCAGTCTGATGTTGAATTGGATTTAAATTTTGACCAGACATTGCATTACTGTAATCTATCTTCGCATTAGCTGCTTCCTTCAGGCCGGAAATCAAATCATTTTCTAAATTTCGTACTTCTTCACTCTCAAGAATATTTTTTGCTGTTATAGAATCAACATCTCCATCACTCTTGGAGTCGAATTTTTCATCACTTAATGGTTTTTCAATAAGGTCTAATCTAGCTACTGATGTTTGTGAAGTTCTATCTTTATTATTATGATCAGTTTTGTGTGACTCCTTCAAAAGCTCACAGCAATCTATGAACAGTGCTTCATCTCTACTGAGTTCTCGTTCTGATAGTTGCTGATCTCTAATAATGATGTTCAACTCGGACATTATTTCTTCAACAGGAGGTAATTTGAATTTTTTAGTCTTACTTTTCTTTCGTTTACTAAATTTATCTGTCAATATTTTCAACCGGTCTACATATTGTTTATAAGCTATTAGATAATTAGGTTCCTCATGCACAGGATTGGTTTTAATCTTCATTTCTACTTCACATAATTTTGATACATGAAGCATTGTCATTTGATGTCTTAAATAGTTATCAGACCGGCGAAATTCTTTCTTGCAAACATTACAGAAACGTGGAACTGTTTTAATAACAGTTTTCTTTTTACGTCCACGTTTAGAAGCTTTATTTACTTTAGGGAGAGACTGCTGTGGTGCTTTGGGGTTGGTTTCACCTTCAGCCGACTTCTTATTTTCATTTTGTAAAGATTTTTTTGTTGCCCGTTCTTTATATCCAAACAACACATCGTCGGTTTCATTTGCTATAATATGGAATGTTTCTGATATTTTCTTTGAAGCTAATAAATTAGATTTTCTTGGTTTTCTTTCAGAGAAGAAACCGAAACTTTCCATAAATTGTTCTGACCGAAGTTGTTCATCTGCTTCATTTTGAACTGATATGCTTTCTACATTATTACAAATTCCCAGTGTTCTTCGGCTCTTTTTATTGTCGTCATATGTTTTGTCGTTAGACTGTTCATTATCATCGATATCATTGTCGTCGTTTATATCTTTAACCGTCGAACTCGAAAGATCATTAGAGTCCAACTCTGAAATCCTTCTTTCTTTTTCTTCTACATACTTTTGTAATGGTACATCACTTTTAGATGAATCGTCTGAATCGCTAATATTAGCCTTTTCAGAGGGAACCGTAGATTCATGTTGTTCTATAGAATTAAAAGTATCTTGAGACTTTTGATGCGATGTTTTGCCAATACTTTTTTTAATCACAATTTCCTTTGTTTCTAAATATTTTTTATTTGAATTTGAAGACCTTTCTTTAGTCTTAGATGTAGAACCTTTTCGTAAAATATTATCATCTCTACCGGCATGTAATGGATTAGGATTTTTTATCATATCATCTAAGTCGATGTCATAAGGATCGTACGTTAGTGCTTCTGAAGATTTTACAACAACTGATTTAGAACGTGTTCGTTTGGATGGTACAGGTAAGTTGTAGCACGCTGTGCGAACATCTGAGCTGCCACTTGCGTGTAATTTATACTTTATATTTATTTTATCTGTAACGTAATTCTCTTCTTTATCCACGTCTTTAAAATTAGTTTTAGATTTTTTTGGTTTCGGACCTTGATTTAAATCTTGGTTTATATTGGCTTTTCGTTTTTCTATAGAGTACACTAATTTGTCACTATTACTTTCGGCAATATCAGTTTTATTTGAATTGACATCAGAATCATCATTGCTAATAGGAGTGATTACTTCATTAACATCAATTAATCGTTTATTAGACAGATTACCTTTGTTTAAAGTAGCATTTAATTTATCATGACTCTTAGATTCGGCTGTATTTGATAAAGAAATACCCATGTTAGTAGTAGATTCATAGAGACTTTGAGAATTATCAGTGTCAGTGCAGTCACTCACATCAAGATGACAGTCTTCCAAAGATTTTCTTTTTTTATTTCTACGTTTTTCAGAAGGCGATAGTCTTCGTTTCGATCTTGTTTTTTCAATAATTGAAATGGGTCCTATTTCATTAGTCGTGCATAGTACATTTGATGACAAAGTAATATTAAGTTTATTTGCATCTATATTTTTTTCTGGTGTAGAATGAGCCGGACCTTTAGTGTTTTCTTCGTCGAGCAAAAGTTTTGAAAATATTAATTGTTTTTTAGTAAGTGGAGTTCTTTGTTCCAATGGTACATTAGGTTGTATATTCATATTATCAACACAAGCCAATTCATTATCAACGAATAGGGATTTCCCGCGTCTACTGCGACGTAACGGAGTAGACATACTATCTTCTTTTTCTGAGTCTACGCATACGTCACTAATAGTATCATTGGTATCGAAATCATCACATTTTATTAGTTTCTTACCACGTGAAAGTCTCTTACTCGTTTTTACTTGCAAAATTGCGTCAGGTTTATTATTTTCTTCTATATTAGTATTTTCTACGTAGTTATTCTGTGTATCGCGATTTTCCAATATAAGTTCATCAGATTTTAATTTAGTGTTTTCATTCTTAGTTTCACAATCTTCTTTCTTTCTTGACAGGCTAGGAATTTCTTTTTCTTCATGTATGCTTACAAATATAGAACACTCTTCATTGCTACGCAAAGAGCTTAGCGTTGATTTCTTTTTCTTTTGTTCTTCAGTTACAGTTTCGCATACTATAGTTCTTGTATCAATATTTGTAACTGGGTTCAAATTAATACATTTATTAGCTTTAAGTTCATCTAAGTTATCCATATGCATATTATTAAGATAAGCGTCGTCATTTTTCATATTAACGTCGTCATCTGCAAATTTCATGGATGTAGAAACGTGACTATTATTCTGACTGTTGCTAATATCTTTAGACATAGATATTTTATCTTCAAATTTTGTACATTCGATTTTATCAAATTTATTATCATGGGTTATGTTAATATTATCCAGCTCCTTATTTTCATTTTTTTCCTCTGTTTGTTGTTCTAACACTTCTGATGAATTAATATTTAGACGATTTTTCCTAGTTTTCTTTTTGGAATGTTTGTCTCCAATCATGGTGGCTTCAATTTCTGTCTCTGCAACATTACCATCTAGATGTTTGGTACATATTTCATCCTGCTTATCAACAGAGATATTTGTTGCTGAATTATCTGATAATTCTAAAGTTATCATATCTGTGCATTGTTCTGTGGTAACATCTTTAACTTTCTTAAGTTTTCTATCTTTCTTTTTCTTTTTACTTTCAAGCCTGTCACTCTTCTCTGCTATAAGTTTAAAGGTGTCATCTTTACACGTGGGATTATATATATGTTCTTCTTGCTTTTGCTTCACTATTACCGCCAATGAAATATCATCATCAGATTCATCTTCCTCATGTACTTCTACTCTTGAATTATCTTCCAATAAACTCTTCTCAGTAGTAGTCACATCTTCCTGCATTGTTTGATATTCTTGAAGTAAGGTTTTATTATTTAGATCACTGTTTATAGCCGTAACTATCTCTTCAGATACTTTCGATGCATTTATATTTTGTGAAGACGTTTTATTTATGTTTTCGTTTACTGACGCAAAATTAATTTCGATATCTTTACATGTGTCTGAATCAGATGACTGTCTTGCAACAAACTCATTAGTCATTGAATCGGGAGGGGAAATTGAAGAAGTTTCAACTACTAATTCGTTTCTAAGATGTTCATTTCTAGCTTGAAGAATTTCTTCTTTTCTGATTGTATTTGGCAAACTTGCAGAATTATTTTTCATATCTTCGTATGTTAATGTAGACTTATCAGGTAATGTTGGAGCAACCAGTTCGCATGGATTGTTACTGTACTGGGTACTAGATACTTCTACTTGTTGGGAGATCATAGTTTTATCGGTATCCAAGACCTTACATATCTGTTTTTCTTGGTCATTTATATTACACTTGATTTGAGGTTCCAAAAGTGGTTTATGTAATGAAATATCTGTAATGGATTTGTGCCTTTCTGAAGGAGCTTTTATGCGAACGGCTCTTAAACTGGATGTTTTCTCGTTTGTTGATTTTTGTTTGTTTGTATTTGTAACTGACACAAAAGTCTGAGTTTCGTGTGATGTAACTACAATATTACGAGGAAATTCATCCGCTAATTTGACATTAGTTGTAGGTATTATACTGTCATCATCTGTCAAATCAATAATAGTTTCATTTAACAATAAATTTGGGCAGCTTTCAGAAATGTGACCAACCTGAACTTTTCCTTTATTTTCTATAGTTAGTTCCAGTTTGGTATCTTCATCCATTTTTTTAGTAATTGGTAACAGCGTTGTACCAACATTATCAAATGCAGAGGTACGAGAAAATGTTGATGAGGCTAGAGGAATCATGTCACATTCTAGAGAATCTTTTTTCTGGAAATCTAATGTACCAGTTGTTTGCGACTTAGCTTGATACGTTCCCATTGATTGATGTAGTGAGGTCAATGGTGAAATTACATTTAATGGTGCAACATTGTATTTATCGTGGCCAAATGACGCAATCTCAGCAACAATTGGAGTACTAGTTACTGAAGGAAAGCCAGGCGGTTTCAATATAGCAGTTGAGGTATTTGTAGTAATATGTGTAGATTCACTTAATGAAATTGAAGTAGTCACAATATTAGAAACATATTGAGGTAAAACATTTAAAAGTTGATTTCTATGTCCAACAGGCATTGTTCCTAATATTTCAACCAACTCTTTAGGTAACAACGCTATCTTTCTTGCTGTTTCTGGATCCTGATCGACCGCCGAAATGCCTATTTTATTCACCATATTTAAGTCTCTTTCTGTAGTAACAGTAGTATCAGGAGAAATGTTATGATTAGTTTTGTAGCTATTCATATCCGATGTAGCAGTATCAGTAAGAAAACTAGGAAGAGTGAAGTTACTTGTAGTTGAAGGTGAAATCTGTGTAGAGAGATTAGGAGGTGCACCGTAGTTCATTGGGGCACCAATTGTTGTTCCAGCTAATGTATATACTGATGTAGTACTCGCAATTGTTGTTCCAGGTATACTCAACAATGAACTCGTTAAAGGTATTAGCCCTGGCCGATCAATTTTGGTTACAGAAATACAAGCATTTGCTAAGGTGTAAACCGGTGTTGTACTTTCATGTTTACTAATAGGTGTAGTAGATATAGGATTTGATAAAGTATAAATGGGGATAATAGTACTCCTTGTCGAACTGGAAATGAAAGAAGTATTTCTCATTTCATAAGATAAATGCTCCTGAGGTATTAATACTGATAGTGAAGTATCAGTAAAAGTAGAATCTTGGGATTTAGTCTCAGCTACTGATACAATTGATGTATTTGTAAGGGGATCTGTATTACGTTGCAATGGTTGAAAAGTATTAAGAACATCAATTGGCTCTGTACAAGTTGATGTAGTTGTAGCAGTTGTTTTTATTTTAAACTGAGATACCTTTAACGTAGGTTCATATAACTGATTTTGCGGAGTAGTTTTATCAAAAGTTCGTGTAACTGGTTTGTTAATAATCTGATCACAACCTCTTCTACTTTCCTTTGCTGTCACAGGTGACTTAACAAAATAATCTCTGTGTTTTTCTTTATCAACCTTTACAGTTAAATTTGACGAATTGGTAACTGGTCTATCACTTACACTTTGGTTTGTAGTGAATTTTATATTAATGTCTTCAACCTTTTGGGAAATCTTATCTTTAACTACTTTGCCTGATAAATCAGTAGGAGTTACCACAGTAGCGTCTTCAGCATGTGGTAATTCATTTTGGACAGAAATAGTAGTTTTAATACTAGACAATTCTTGTAAATCATGCCTTTGTGCATTAGGTATTATTTCGTATGGAGCATTATACATAAATTTGCCTCTCATTGATAAGTCTGTGGGCACACTATCAACTTCACGTTCCCTAATAGATAAATCGGCAATATTTTCAAGATCATTTTTTGTTGCCAAATCTAAAGAACTTGTATGAGCGGATCGTGGCGACGGTTTAATACGCAGATCAACCACAACATCCGTAATAGCAGTCATGTCTGTCTCCGATAAAACAATATTCTTACTGGATAAATCAAGTGTTTCATAAACTTCATAGTCACTTACATGAGAGCTATCTGGTTTCAACAAATTGTCTGAGCTCTCTACATTCGTTACTTTACCTGATAAATCCAAGGGTACTGAGACAAGAGATTCTATGTTATTACTGGCATGAGCTGGTGGAATTTCTGCTGAAATTTGTGGTAACTCAGCTTCTTCAAAATCTTCTACAGATGTGGTGTTATTGGAGGTATATTCAGTATTTATGTTAATTATTGAGTGTTGGTTTGAATTGGCATCGAGACAATGACTTGTCTTTTGCTTGATTTTAGATTGTGATAATGCTGGATCAGAATTTGGAGATTGCTGTATATTGTGGTGTATATTCTGAATTTGTTGTTGAGAGTTGGAATGAATACTTGGAGATATACCTTGCTTTTGCTTAGAGCAAGAATAAATTTCAGATTGCAACTGTGAGGTTGGTCGTGCTTGTCCATATATTTCAACGTTATTTTGCTGTGTTGAGAATGTTTTAGCAGTAGTTTGGGGAGATAACGAAGGGCCTGGCTTTTTAATTATGCTAGGATGAGCATACATTTCTGAATTTTGTCTTGGTGATAATTTACTATTTTGACTGACATTTGCTCTTTGCTTATATATATCCGTCTCTATCTCGAGATTGATTTTTTGACTAGAACTAAAACTTTGCTTAACTTTACCTGAAATATTAGTTAACACTTCACTTTGCTTTTGAGTAGTAACAACTATTTGCGGAACTAATTCGAATTCTTTCAAAGGGATTTCATTTTTGAGATGGCTAGCAGATCTTCGGCGTGTTATTTCACATTTAGAGGACACGTTCCTAGATTTTGATTTGCATTTACTAGCTTTTTGGTTTATGACATTGTCAGGTGGATTTACAACTAACATAGATCCGCTTGAATTTGTATATTGAGATGTAGATAAGTATTGGTAATCATATGTTTTCTGATTAACATTATCAAATGCACTTTCGAACGTTAACTTATGCCTAGAAAAGACCTGAGCTGGTTTACTCTCTATAATTTCAATTTGACTTTCTGGATCCACTATCTTCGATTTAGTGATAACACTGTTAGAATGAAGAGGCTCGTCGCTTCCACATTGGACAGATATTTGTGACGAAGGTACGCTACTTGGTACTTCTAATTTATTCTTCAACATTGCTATGCAATCATTTAAACCTTTTCGAGGTTTACCGAGTTTATTTCCTTTTTGCAATCCACAAGGATCTATTGCATTTCTTTGGTTAAAGTGTAAAGGTGGTTTATCGAGCTTTGTAACGGCTGCTTCATTTTCGAAAAATAAACGATCTCCCGTTGGCACATGATTTACATTGTTGCATTCTTGCTGAACCAAAAATGAATGGTGAAATTGCACAGATTTATCATGAGTCTCTGAGTCAGCAGTCAAACTAGCAATGGAATGTTTTAAAGGAGCATTTTGTGTTGGAGCATGGGAATTGTTAGTATTTCCATTGTCACTGCTGGAGCCTGATCTATTATGCTCACGAGTATTGGATCCACCACGACTTGAATGTTCTCTTGTATTATATGGGCCATTGTTTACGTCAATTCTTTGTGGTGTATTGTCTATTGACAGCTGATCAAAAGAAACACTACCAGAGCACTGTAGAATAGACATTTCCGTAGTGTTCAAAGTTGCACTTTGTCCTTCTAATTGTGATTTTCTTTTTGCTGTATTAATACCGGTCCGTCGTCTCATACTTTCATTTTGGCATGTACTTTTAGTTGTTACACGGTTCAGTCTTGGCTTTAAAGGTTTATCGTCGTCATCGTTACTTGTTACACTTTTATGATTATCGTTACTGGTTGACCCCGTTGGTCCATTATTCGAAAATTTAATAGATCTTAATTTTCTGGACTTCGGATCTTCGGATGATCTTCTTTTTAGTAAAAATTTATTTCTTTGTTTGTCAATTTTTTTACGAGGTCGCAATATTGGATTCATTGTATTTACCATAACACGGTGACGTTTCGCTGGTAAATCAGCTAACATTTTTCGTATGGTTTCAGCTGAAATAAAGAAATTATAAGTTAAAAACATGACAAATAAACAAGGCACTAATCAATTTAAATATCAATACTCCAACCACAACCTTAAAAAATTAAAGTTGACAAAAAAATTGCAACCAATTACTTAGTAATACTCTTAATACATCTTCTCATCTCTAGTAATACATCTTATTCAATTTAAAATGAACACCCGTCATAGAAACGTGAATTATTCATTTTAAATAGCTATTAATATAATAAAATTATTAGAATAATAACCATTAAAACAGGATTTTAGGAAAATGTCGATCAACTTACCATCTCCAACCTCAGTTCTGTTTCTAGGTCTTGGTCTCATGTGACTCTTCTGTCTAGTTTGTCTGGATCGAATGTCTTTTCGCATTTTCTTACTTATTCTATTATCCGGCAAGCGAGAACGACGTCTGCGTACCCCAAAAGGTCGATAGCGACACTTTCTGCGAACTGTCGGAGTGTCCCCCGCGCAATCTAACATGTGTTGATGCAGGTCTTCCAAAGAGACTGACTTCTTACATTTTGTGCATTCCCTGAATCCCCTCAATGGTCTGGTTCGATTGTACATTTGACTCGGCGGCACATATAAATGTTTTGAAATGTTACCATTTAAATGTAGTTCTCCGACTACGTCATAATGCTGCACTTGTGCATTTGGATGTTGGGTACCAATATGCGAAGAAAGCGAGCGAGAGTCGTAAGACGGAAAACCACAAGCACAGCAAACATAGCATCTCGGTCGGACCCACTCTCCACTCAATACAGCTGGCGGCATATCATAATCTGGTACTGACGGAGTCAGTCCTAATGAAGTTGGAAATTCAAGCCCCTCTACATTAGGTACGGTTTTATTGGTATGTCCTATTACATTTAATGACGATGTTGGTAACTCTCTGCTCTCCAATATCTCTTTCAATTCTTTACCGATAGTATTTTGTTTGTCTGTCTTCTTTCCAATCGGAGAATAATTATATTTATCTTCATATTTTCCTCGCATACGTAACTGTGTCCAGATGTCCAAACTAGATATTAAGGTAATGATACAATTGTTGGTATGACTATCGCGTTTGATCTGATCCGGATTTATAGGGTTCCTGTCAGATTCCAAACTATCCCATTTCCATTTGTGCTTTGGCGCTATGGCTCGTGGCATGTAACCATCGAAAGTATTGCGGGAGTACTGTGCATAAGCCAACAGTATTGGAAATCCCTCAGCGGTGTTAATTACGACACTATTTTTAGACTTCCTAGTTTTAATAGTGCTGTCGGGATCGGGATTAAAATTGAAGGAACCATCCAAAAATTTAGTTAAATTTTCTTGAACATTACTAGCAACCTTAGAGTAGAAACTAGTATCAAAGCATTTCTCGAATTTTTGTGAGGACTCATCTATAGCGCGAAACCACTCCTTTTTTGTAGATTCTGCTGTTCTAGGTGATCGATGAACTACTCCCAATCTAGAAAGTATCTGATCTGCGTCTGTATTATGAAAAGAAAAATTAGAGGGAATTCGTTTGTTCCACTGTATATCGTCCAAGATGATAACTGCATTTTTTTCTATGACTGCATTATTAACTAGACTTTTGTTGGGCGGTAAAATTAAATTCGTTGTTATGTTATCCTCTATATCGGCATCATCATTTACTTGTGACGGTTTTAGTTCACAAGAAATAACGATGCCATTAAATCCATGAACATCAGTGAATGTTTTAGCGTCATTCCGGAAATCTTTAGTATCAATTTTGATCGATTTCTGATTTTTCTTGGTTCCATCCGACACTTTCTGTCGCAGTTTGCTACGGTATGGTATCTTTTGCTTTTCACAAATATTAAGCTCATGTTCAGCAAGCTCAATAGTTGATGCGAAACGAGTATGACAGTATAGACAGGCAAAGTACTCATTGGGATGGTTCTCAACCATGTGTCGCAAAATGTGGTTGCAATCTGCATCCGTGTGGCTACAGTACAGACACCCAATGTTTGAGTCCTGTTTTGAAATTGAGATATGCACACGTAGTGTATGTTTAGATAAAGTTTGCTTAGAAGCAAATTTTCTATCGCAGTAGGGGCAAAGTAGATGCAGAATAGATGAAGAATCAGCCTTTGCAGAGAGATCATCTAGTTTATATGTCGCTTTGGACAGGGTACAAGCGCGTTTGGGTTTCTCGTAAGCGATTTTGTCATCAGATTTTTGAATATTCTTAGTAGATTGCGTGCTGGGAATAGTAGACTTTCTTGGTCTCAGTCTTCCATTTAAACCAGACGATGGTTCATCATCACCCGTATTCATCGTGTTTAGTTCCTCAGACCTAAAACAAAATTAAATTTCGTACAAATATATACTTAAACTATCGTTAACACAACTTTGAAAAGACTAGCGACAGTTTATACAATAAAATACATGTGTGCTGTTTTACTATAGTTATTTATAAAATATTAATCAAAATAGAAGTCGATACAGATAGAGTCCTACACACACAAAGTCAGCCATCTAAACTATTAGTACTATTTTATTTAAAAATTAAACTTGGAGATTTTTTTTAATACAGCGTAAAGACCGTATCACATTAAACTATACTTAATACAAATTTAAATATAAAGAGTGGAAGGGTGATTCAGTAGATTGGAGTGTGGAGCAAAAATTCGATGATTTTGAATTCGTAGTTTTCAACAATTAGCTCGTAAGTACGAAACTATTTTGTTGGGTATGAACCGACAATTATGAAAAGATCGACTCGAATTGCAACATATCACTAAAGTCACATTTAATCACAATTAGTCACATTAAAGTCACTTCTTCGCTTATTTCTCGCCTATTTCTGTACCATTTTTAGAGGTTGGATTTGGCACGAAATTACTAAGTAGTGGTGTACCTAGGATTAACGTACTAGTATTTAGGAATTGCAAAGTATGAAGGATAATACCGGGGTCGAGGTCGCAATAAATCAGGTAGTACGCGTGCGTCCTAAATAACTGTTACTAGGTAGATGTAAAACAGTAATAAAAAAGTAAACGGAACCATATGAAAATGTGTGAAAGTAAGTTAATATAAACCACAAGAAGCTAAATCGACAGATAATGCATCAATGAATTCAATTAAAAAGTATTACGTGTATAAATTATTTTTATACCGAAAATCATTAATCGTGATTAAGTAGAATAACAAACAAATTTAATATTTATGTATATTGTAAACTCGAAAATAAACCAGCACTCAACTGGATATAATTGAATAAAGTAACATCAGTAGCTGCAATTGGCGTTTCAGTTTGTTAATTAAGCACTACGTAAATTATACTTCTTTGTAATGACGTGGACACTGCAAATAAATAAATATTTACAAATTTTTTTACATTTTTGTTAATTTACGTACAGTATTTATCTATGACAAACTACAGTAAAATATATAGATATTTTAATATATCTACATATATAAAAAATATTTTCCGAACGTGTGTAATAGTGCTTATTAGATACTATAGAACATCGGCCTGTCAATACAAATTTACTTGAAATAATTGTTGAAAAATCATAAGCAATAATGATAACAACATTAGAATTCCATATAAAACCAACACTTAAAATATCTGACGTTGAATTCAGTTTCAGTCTCTTCCATTATTTTTTTGCCTTTTTCATGTTACCGGTTAATAGATTCAATAATTAAATAATGTGTTCCAAATAAAAACCCGATTGTTTTATATTATCAAAGTTGAAGAAAGGTATATTATTATATTAGGTATTTTAAAATTCGTCAATACATCCGTGCAAAGCCGCACCGCACTATGGCATCTATAATTATGGCTATTATAATGCAATATTAATACTATAAGCTGTTAGAACAGCGGCGGTAAGCATGTTGCATACTCATAATACTAAATAATACCTGAATAATAGAATTTCACTTCAATTACAAAACATTAAGTATGCCGACCATAATTAAATAATCCTTATCTGGAACATATATATATATACATATGTACCTATCCTATATTTTAAATTATGCCGAGATCCTAAACTGTAATAACATAGAATAAAAATTCAAATAAATGTAAATACATTTTAACGCAGTGTAAAAAAGGACGCTTGAGCTCGCGAGCTCCGGCCGCCCGGCCATCCAGGGTCAGAGGCAGCACGGGGGTACGCAGACGAGGGGAGGGAAGATTGTGTTTATGGATGATTATTGAATAGTGCTCCCGCCTGCAGCTATTACTAGTAACGCTAGCGGGGCACCGGTGAAGGATGAAAAGATGACAAGAAAATTAGGTCACTTATTCAATTGTTTAGGAACAACAACTGCATATTGCAACCCGTGTAAGAAACAAAATATTTGTCACAGTATTGTATATGTGTATTGAATTCTACTATTATTACTATTATATAAATTATACACTTACTTTGCAAATAGTGTTAACTTTATTACGAATTAAGCACAATGTCTTTTAAGCGGAAACCGTAAAAATCTCCATTACTCATATTTCTCTTCCTTTTTACAATCTTTTCCGATTGCAAGAATCCTAGCAATCGGTCTAATCTAGCAAGGAGTATATATGGATACAAGTTCTGGTAGTTCATAACGACATTTTATATGGTGTACCTATGTGTAGATGTAGAGGATAGATTTATGTGGTCGTCCATATACATGTATATGTTAGGGGGAAAATGTAAAACACAGAAATTGTATCTTATTGAATCTCAAAATAAATTAAGCAAATTTCTATTTGTGAATTAGATAACTAAATAGACTTATAATAATATACTTCATTTTAAACACCTAGACATTATTACATTGATACACCCAACAGACTTATGAATACAAACATTTTTATTGTGCGTGATCGAACCCTTGAACGTCGAATATAAGAAAATGTGCTAAAAGTAAACCGCTATTTCCATGAGGTCCTAAAAAAATACATAATATAACTAAATATGGTCCTCCACAGTTCACATGGTATGGTTCTTATATACTATATTATACAAGTTCCTGTAGCCATATTGGAAATCATTTTGATGATTATACATACAATCAATTGGATTTAATCCCAAATTAACATAAACTCTTTGAAGAATCAAAACGTACCTTCTATTCTTTATTTCTAATCCTTACGATGACTGTTATCTAGCTAGGTATACGGGACTTCACAAGATATATCCAATACTGAATGAATTTCAATAGTTTTATTACAATCGATGTCCAGGACAATAGATTTTATTATCATTTTAGTGTGAACACAAATAAATTTGTTTACTCATCTAGCAGTTATAGAAAGCAGGTATACACTAGGCTGTGACAGTATTTCTGTACTTCTTTTTTATATAAAATACTCAATTGTATATTACTGAAATTACTTTTAAGTATAAGTGCAATAAGCACTATAAATAATAAATATTTGTAATAACATGTCAAAGAGTGAACGCAAAAAAGTAATATAAAATAATAATCTTTATATAACCAACTATGCGAATAAAAGACCGCTATGAAAATTGGCAGTGCAAACATTCGCTTATTTCTTTTTCCTTTGATTGAAAACACAGACCGAATATACCTCATATTTCCACGAACTAAACGGGCTTCACAGTAGCCTGTGTCAGAAATTAATTTCCAGTTCCAGATGGAACGCCGTGAAAAGGTATAAAATATAAATTCACTCCTTTATATAAAAGCAACGTTCTGTGAAAATTTCTAGTTAATCTATCGACAAGTTTTCTATTTAGTTTTGCTGACATAAACATAAAACTGAAAACGGAAATTGAATTTATCTATATACAGGCTCCATCAACGTGGCTTAAAAGTTGTAATACTCTGAACGACGTTTTAATTAAAAACTGTTACTAGCACATTTGCCTTCACTGTTCCAAACAAACTTCATACTAAATTCTAGTTGAGTGGCATAAACAACTCACATAATAAATAACATAATAATTAAAAAGTTTAATATAAGTATAACATACAACGTTTTACATAATGAACGGCTTCAGATCGTACAATTTATGTTAACAAGACATTTATGTATATATATTTTCCACCTATTAGAACTGTGGAAAGATACATAGACCATTTAAATCAAGCACATCCAGAAAATATAATTTTTCATAACCAACTAGTAAATTCAACATTAACATAAACATGTTTTTCTCATAAACATTTTCATTGTCGAACTCAACAGGTCATCCATTTTTACATTTTTCAATATTTTGTGTGTGATCTATAAGAAAAATGCAATAACACTAATAATTAAATACTTACGGAGTCGGCAGGAACTGATGAACCGGTGAATAATCATCTAAACAATCGTCTGATGCGAACGGATCCGGTTCTATGACAAGAGGTTGGGGTTCTACATTGTGCTCAGATTTTTCCGATGTCAATAAACCATCTGGCGGAAATCTGAACAAAAATTTTATAATATTAATATTAAATAAAATCACATCATTACCATCCAGAAATAAAATATTTATATTTCGTATGTAGCGGAAAAATATATATATGAACAAATATTTTTATCGCGTGATTAAAAGTAGAGAGTAAAATCGCCAATCTCCAGTTTTTATTCGTTTTATCTGTACATACTCTTTTGTTTACTCTGTAGGTACGAGGTCGCGCGCACAGCTTGTATGTCTACTACATGGTAGATAGTATACTAATGTACTTAAAAATCTTTTCGCACTGATGAGATAAAATCATGTATTTAGATTTACATTGACATTTCTGCACAGTAATGGACGCATTTTTATTTTATAAGAACTATTTCATACAAAGAATAGAAAACTATATCGCAATATCAAATCGAACAAAGGAAAGTAAGGAAAACAAAAAAAATTAGAAGAAATTTAATTATAAAACATAAAGCAAGGGTAAAACAATTATTTAAACCTTGGCATTTCATATTATAATGTATATTCTACTATTACAGGCATTTAAAATTATACAATGCAACATTCGTTTTGCGAATATTGTGTTGTGTAAATTTTAATAAATCGTAGCATATTTGCATCTAGAGTTCGCTCTACATAGCTATGTGGAAAAGGGGTGGGGTGGTTTGACTACGATGTCGAGAATGCATCCAACATAATTATTCTTGAAAGCTCGTTTCCTATTTTATATACCTATATAATTAAGGAACAGCTTACTCGATATGCAGTTAATGTTTAATTGCATAACGAACTTGTCTTTGCTACTAAAAATATTATACCATCATTCCATTACTATATCAGTTTGTATTAAGGGCAACAAGATTATAGTAAATTTTCTTTCAGAACGATTTTCAAAAGGAAGTTGCCTAGAGGGCT